TCAGAACTATTTGAGGGCCCTTAAATTTGTTTAGGTGCACAGGAAACAATTTCATTTTAATGATCATGAAATACCAATTAAATAAAAACATTTCTAGAAAACAAGGAGTCTTCTTTAAATTCCTACTGTCACTCACCTGTGCCTTCCAATTAGTATTCATCTTAATCACCAAGATTTCATCTAATGCTGTCATTTCTGAGACTATAAAATACAACAGTATCTCAGCAAATATATTTGAAAAGTGAATTCTTATATAAAGTTGAAATGGGAGAACCTAGGAGAATTAAAATAATATTTATATTTGGTTTATATTATATTTGGCTTAGCTTCAGAAAATGTCTTATTACTTTTAAATAAGAAATTAAATATTTGAGGAAAGATGAAATTTTATATACTTACCATTTTTGACCCAATAAATACACCCTTTCTCTACCAGTTTTCTCAAAAATACAAACTCCTGAAACTAGTGAAATCTTTCTGAAAATACACTTAAAAATATGTTTATAGCTCCAAACATATTAAAACTGTAATTACCCTGTTATAGTATCTCTTTTAGTAAGAACCCCTTAACTTTTTAGGTTCATAATGAATGTTTCTGCCAACATTATGATAAGAGAATTTTAATACATCTTTCATCACCTAAGTGATCAACATAATTTCTCTTCCTTAGCTCCCTATGCTGTAGTTACTACTGGATCACAGAGGAAGATGGAATCATCTTCTTGAGCATTTAACAGCTATAAGAATGATAAGGAATAGATTCCTACCCAGCCCCATAAAATGTTTATGCAAATAGTTATACTTTTCCTGTTGATGGTCACAAAAGAGAGTTTTTGATCACTCATAAATAAAATACTTTCATTTGCCCCCTTGCCCAGATATACAATTGCTTAAATTTTGGAGAAAGTTTGGATTAGTTACTTCAACCCTTAAGCATGTCCATATTTTAGAGTCACAAACTATAAAGGTATACTTGCAGGAAAGCTCATACAACTATATTAATACCTTATTTTCTATCAGGATCTCAACTTTTTTTCATCTATATAAATATAGGAAATATTTGGAACCATGATAGATATAAGAGAAAATGTGCAAGTACTGCTGGATCATTTAAGAGAAATCCACTTGCTAAAAATAAGTAAAAGTGGTATCCACAAGGAAGCAAGTTATTTAGGTCATCATGGATTTTTAAGGAATCACTGAGAAGACCAGAAAAAAATCAATTTTACACCTGAGTTGTCAAATGCATCCAATGAAACATTTTTAGAATTGTTTAAAAATGACAATGATCACAAGGAATTCCATCTTAAGAAATGCCTGGGAAAAGAACAACCATACTTTCTAAAATTTCTCAAAAATGATAATTCTCACACAATTTTAGATTCGATTAAGAAATGGTGTATTTACTGATTTTTGGATGTCCATAAAAAGACATAACTTTGATTGATTTTCCAGGATTACCTTACGGCCTATTACTGGACTTACAATTTCCCTAGAAAACTAAAAAAAGAGCTTCCATAATTGTAAGTCTTATGAGCTGATGTTTAAGAAGGCTGTAATGTCAAAAATACAATAACTAATACTATGGAATGTGAAATTAAAGACCTGTTTTAATTTAAGGTATTTATCTATATGAAAATGCTCTACATTTGGCTTATACATATATTTAAAATAGATAAAACATAAATGAAATTAAATACATGACCTTTTTCCAAATTCATGGGATTATAATTTAATACTGCCAAATAACTTTGATGAAAGAATTTAATTGTAAAACCATCTTCCTAGAAAGTAAATATATACAATAAAGCAGTTTAAAATTTTCTCTCATGTCCACTCTATCAATGGAACACTACCACATTTGTTTTATTCATTCTTACTGAAAATAAATAACTAATAAACTGTTCAACTGTCCGGGAAAAATATCAACTGATACTATTCTGTTCACCAGAACTCTCCTAACATTATACATCTGAATATCAAAAAAATCATAAAAAGGAGAAATTAATTGGGCATAACATAGGTAGGGAGATGGAACATAGTTCATAATAGTTTTTAATCCTTAATATTATGTTAAGTAGTTTTATACACTTCATTACTTTTTAAAATGCACCAATCTCTAATGCAGAATATTGATTACAAATGCTCAGAAAATAGATCTCTGCAAAGATTCTACTGCTTTGAGCTTCCGACCAGCCTCTTTCCTGCTATAAAGTGCTAAGAAGTTCATGTGACATATTACCACAGCCTTATAACACTAATCTAAAAAATATCTTGTCAGAAATACACACCTCTTTTATTTTATGTTCGTATCTTCAGTAATAAAAAAGGGATAAATAAATCTGAGATCTTGAAGTCAGAATTTTAAGACACCAAATTATATAAATCTATGGACCTGTTGAAATTAAGACAAATTTCCAATCTCATAGTAAAATTTTAAGAAAATATATATTTTAAAAAACAGACAATTCAAAGACTACATAGTTAATCAAAATATGTGTGGCAGGATGGATTCAGCAAATCACATTTTAAACATCTTGGCCTCATAAAATCCTAAATTAATTTTTGATGAATGGGGATTACTAAATGCTGCTATAAAATTTGTTTTAGTCAATGAAACTTAAGTGTCAAATTATCTTTACACTATTACAGCCATTTGGTGAATTTCTTTCTTTCCTTTTTTTTTTTCTTAATTCACAAAAATATACCTTTTGTTTTCTCTAGAAGTAAGACAAACTCCAAAATGACTTGGCCAGCATAGCATCCCCTTACTTTCTTCTTCTGGAATGCCCTCTACCCTTTACTGACACCCTCTGGTCCTTATCACTGAATCAGTTTTGAGAGTAAAACACACTCTAACTTAAAGGAGGTAAAGATTTTCTTAACTGTTAAATAAAAAAATGCATTTAAAGGAATAGATATTAGCCATTTTAATAAACAGTTTTACTTAATTGGGCCCATAAAATTGAAGTAAACGTGTACAAGCAACTAAGTTTTAATCATTTTATTAAATAAACATAGCGTATGTATATGTTCATGATTTGATTTTAGTTAATCTTCCTAACCTAATAAAGATTTCAGACCACCTCATAGATGAAGGGTTGCTTTGGTAGGGAAACATTAAGGTATTTCAGCGATCCATTTAAAAAATTCCACAACTGTACTTTCCCAGATCTATTTCCAAATGTACTATGTGCTTCACAATTTATAGACAAAGTCTGACATTCAGTTAATCTATTGGGGTAAATATTCTTTTTTCTAACTTTGAGAATTCTAACTTTCTATTCAACTGTGTATGCATTCAAAGAAAAAATTAAAATTAGCACTTTTTCTCAGTTCTTAGTTTTCAGAAGTTTTAAACTTTAGAACAATTTAAAGTCTCCACTAACCCCTGGAAAAAAACATGATACTTATATTGTAATAAACATTTCACCAATTTTAAAATATTTGCATATTTCACATATGCTTTAATATCATCTCACCACACTCCACTTGTTATTTTTTCAAATTCTGCTTCATTTTTTATGTCACATTTCCTTTATTTAACTTTTAACTTTGCATTTTGTGCTTTGTTTCCCTCCCTAGACTCAGCTGATCTTTGTATGTAATATCTTTATTTTTAATCATTTGCTTTATGTCACATATTCTTACACAGTCATATTGTTTTGGAGTTTTTTTCCAGTTGAGTCAGAGGAAACATAACCTGTCAAGTTTGATACTCAATATACTGGTCCATATAGAACTTATAATAATTTGAGTAAGAAGTAGGAAAATATGCAAAGAAATATTCGTAAGTTGCTTAAAATTGACTACAGGCCCTTTGAAAAAAAAAAAAATGACCTAGTCATTACTAATTCTTTTATGTTTAGGGTCACAACATTAATCAAACAGACCGTAGCTCTGTTACGGTTCAATAGTAATCAATTACACCTACATTAATTTTTAAATTTGACCTACTATTTATTTGTGTTTTTTTTTTTAATGCTAGTATCCTAATGAACATCTACTTCTTTCATCCTTTTCTCCACAGTTAAAATTAAGAATCAAGGTGGAAGTATGGTATCTCTAAATTATTTTATCTTTTCAATTAGAAAAAAATACAGATGGATTGAATATAGATAAGGCATTTCACATACAACAGTTTAAAAGTTTTTGCTTCCAAATCTGCATTTAAATTACCACAATGTATTGTATTTTTCATGCTAAAGAGGTTATAAAAGTTTAAAATAATAATTCAAAAATACTTAGTGAATCCTTGTTTTTCCAATAAAATGAAACAATTAAAGCATTTTGAGATTGTCAGAGTAATTCTCAGCTTATTGTCACCATGTTCATATTTATGCAAATTCATATGCTCTTCCACATTTCAATAAAAAGCTCAATAAGGATGTTTGAACATATTTTTATATGCTTTAAAAATATCTGTCACATTCCTACACAACATTTAGAAAACACCACAGCATAACCCAAGATCCTGTTTTTCTTTGGTCTCTGAACTTTATAAAACTCCACTTATAGAGCATCCCTCCTGAATTTTAACAAGTTATTGCACTGCCAGATGCCCAGTTATTGGGCTCTTTTCTCACAAATACATTGCTCAGTCATAAGGCATGCGTTCAGTATCTGTGAACCACATCCTATTCTCTGAGCGTTTAGTCTCTTTTGCAGAAAAATTCTTACCCTTACCTGGCATTTATCACCTTGCTGTTTACTTGTAGGGATCGTTCACTCTTATTTTGGATGACATTATGAGATAAACAAATAGGTATATTTACTCTTTTTCAACTTTTCTGACATAAAATCCCAGCAGAGGGGGAAAAAAAAAAAAATGCATGTTTAAAAAAAAAAAAAAAGCTTTACGTTACAGTTTTTAAATTCTGGCAACATGGCAGGAAAAGATGGCTTTGCAGAAGCGAGTGTGTCAAAAATTGTAAGTGCCTGGGAGATGAAGCGCACAATCCCAAAAAGCAGTCACTGGCAAAGGAATGCAAGCCACTTACCAATGAGACGCCAGACTCCCCTGTCCTTCCTCTGTGACACTCAATCCCTGTCTCCCATCCTCCTGCCCGTCAGCACAGTTCAAACAGAGCAGGTCCTCGAGTCCTACTCAGCCTGTGGCAGAACAGAATTGCGGAGTTTTTAATCATTCAGGGGGACTCCTCCCGCTGGCCCTGCTTCTCCCCGAAGAGCGGACCCAGGTAACTCATCCTCTCCGCCCCGAGCTTTAACGGCACTTCGGCTGCTGCCTTCTCGCAGTTACGCGCCCCCACTCCGTCGTTGGTTGTATCGGGCAGGAGGTGCGGCGCCTCCTCAGGCTGGTGCGTTCGGGGCGCGAGTGTTTTCCTCCAATGCGTCCGCGCGCCCCGCGCGCCGCTCCTCTGACTGGCTGTGTCCTTCGCGCAGCGGCCCCTCGCCCCTCCCCGCTCGCCCGCGCCCTCGCCTCACTGCCTCTCGCTGGTTCATTTAGCGCGTCCCCGGGCGGAAGGGTCCGTTTGCCTCCACAGGGGTTTATGTTTCTCGGCTCGTCTCACCAGTCAACCGGAGTTCCCCTTCGCGCCGAAGTACGGAGGGCTTCCCCTCCCCCTGCTCGCCTGCTCTGCAACCTTTCCAAATTGAACGTTCGTAGGTTACAGAGCAAACGCGTTGGCTGGTGACTGCCCGGGAGATCTCAGACACGAGTTCCTTCCCCTGCCAGCCGGCTGCTGTCTGTCTGGTTTCGGATTCCCCCTCGGTCGCGTTCACCCCAGACCGGCGAGGCACCGACGGATGCGTTCACTTAGGTCGGCCGGGAGTGGACTTTTCACTTTGCAGAATCTCCCCACGTCCTGACTGGGAAGCACTTCTCTTTGTTCATACACTCGCGAGTTCTCTCTAAGGACAGTTAGGCCCTTTGACTTGTTATTTCTCCTTGATGCCCCCGCCCCCGTGTCAGTCCTGAATAAGCTAAGAAAATAGTCGGCTTAGTGTCAGACAGCAGCCCTTTTTCTGAAATTTTATATGGCAATGGATGTAATTGGAAAAACAGCACAGGTAGTAAATCCACAGTGTGGCAGCTTTAGTGCTATTGTGCTGTGAGCCCTCCCCTCTACTTTCCCTCTCTCAGTCTCTGAGTCTTTCTCAAATTCTCTTGAGTCCTTTGATGTTGAGTGCTACAAAATTATATCACATTCCTTTTGCGCTGTATTTCCATAGGTAGTGCGATTGACACCTGTATTTAATGGAAAAGGAATCCCACACACTGTTTTCTGTTTCTGTGCGTCGATCTGTGAAACTGTGCGAGAGCCTCAGGTCACACCCGGTGCCGGTCTGTGTCCGATTTTCATGTGTGTTTGAGTCCAGCCTGACCCTGCACTGAGGCTGATTCTTCTGCTCATTCAATCCCTCCGTGGGGTCTGACTGGGTCTAATTGGTAAGGAGAGTACAGCGCCATGCAGCCCGTAGCTGCAAGCCTTTCTACCACTAGCTCTGCGTTGTTTCTCTTGCTTTTCTGGTAATTCAAATTAGTCTTTTTCCTATTTCTTGGCTTCTCATTCATCCACACATGTATGCACATCCACTCTCTGCATTTAATGGCTACCCTCAGGATCTAGGCCGATTTCTTGTTCCATAGCAAAGACAAATTTGTGTGTTCACATTTAATGCTTCTCTACTCTTCCCCACTTTTTATTTTCTTTCTCCTGCTTTCCAGTAATTAGGTTATTTTCTTTATGTGTGAACTGCGGGATTGTTGCCGAGATTTTACTTCTCTGGGCTTTTTCTCTGCTTCACGAGCTCCACTCCTGTGTTAGGCTGTTGGTTCACAGAGAGAATCACCGGGACTTTTATAACCTCTTTAAATATATCACAAAATAGATCCAAAGTCTAAGAACTTAAAGCATTTTTTCTTATTGTCCAATGAGGTTTTAGCCTTTAAATGTTTTTTATAATTGAGCACATTCAGCCTTAATAGGAGATATAGAAGGCGAGCTTGCTTACAGTTTTCTTTACTTCCTCAAATACCTTTATATTGCAAGTGATTTGGTAATTTTGGCGTTTGCATCATTACTTCATATAATTCATATATTTTCTTTCTACTATCATTTCAGAAAAGATTTAAGTTGGCTCATTAAAATTACAAAAAAAATTAATCAAAAATGTAGGTTAGTCAAATCAATACATAGAGTAAAGAAATAGATAGTAGGAGAGATAGGAAGCCAGGAGTGGGGTTTAGGCAGAAAAATTCATTTATATTTTCTTAAAAATGGCTTTAAGTTTACCATTAAGTTAGTAGCCAATGTAAAGAAGAAAACACTATCAGTCACATGATTTGTGGTACCCTCCCACAGTTAACATGAACAAGGAAATTTATGTTTCAAATGATATAGGTGGACGAATTATTTTAAATAAAATCATCTAAAGGCATATGATGTTTTGACTTTTTATAAAAAAAACAATTATTATCATAGGAATTGGGCGTGAAGATATTTTTATAACAAATAGATGATGTAGAGCACTTTTCCTTTTGAGGTTATCTGATAATTTAGAGGGGGAGAAAGGAGATGTTGAATCTGATTAATTAGGAATAGTAAGGTCTATTTCTGTCAGTTCAAATTTAGAATGTTAATTTCAAGCGTAATGTAGGGGTGACTAGGTTACATGGATATATTTCAGCAAGATATATGACTGTTTATTTTCATGTATTTTATAATTAAAAATGTTTTATTTTATATCATGCAACTATATATTCTATATTAGTATTACATATATTCCGTATTAACATCTATATATGTACTATAGACAGTATTAGTCTTTCTGACTTCTACAGCTTTCTGAAAAATTTAGAATTCTGCTATTGTGGAATGTTTTGTTTGTGTGTGTGCCGCAGATTTTTAAATTGGTCTATAGGTCAGGTGCCTTTGCATCTTATTACATCCACAGGGTTCAGATATAAGCAGGTGAACGTTTGAAATTAGAGAGAAAAACAGCAGTGCATAAAGTAAGAAGCAGGAAAAATTTTCTTGCAGGAGGTCTGCCGAGAAGAAACAAGCTAACTCATGTTTTCCAAGTACCTGTCAAATCTTTCCACATGCATCATAACTAACCATTTCTTTTATTCTCATGTGAAAATGGGGATTTAAAATATTGCTCTTAGATTTATCTTTAAAAGTCACAGGTATTCATGCCCCATTATAAAATCGCAATGCTATTTTCTTTAAGAAGGTCATTATTAAAAAGATCGCTTGTTTCTCTCTATTTCAGAATGTTAGTGACATTTAAAAATAACCAGCTCATTGTCTACCCTGATAAAATATCATTTGAACATTAAATGAATTAAAAATATTGTTTGTAAGTGGGTTAAAGTGGTTTAGTGAGTCATTTTCTCCATGCCATGGTTACAGTGCCTTGACCTAGCTGTCATGTTGCTTATCTGATCTTGTTGTCTAACCATCTTTGTGTAAATGTTTTAATCTCTTTATCTCCTGGTCCCCAGTGGGCAAGTGAGCAGATGCAGCACATCTGTAGCAGTTGAGTTGCCTCTAAGCTTTTGTCTTATTTGTGTTACAGATCTTTCTCCTTTAAATCACGCCCTCCTTTTCCTCTCCTTTCATTTGGCTCAAATGAGGTTCTAGGTTCTAGTTAAGGGGCCATTACTACTGTTACATGTCATCAAATTGAACCATAGCATTTAGAAAAACAGAGAGCAACACTCAATTCAAATCAAGTGAAATCCTCTTGCTTGAATAACCTGCTTTGCTTATTGTAGCCACTTTCAGCATTTGCATCTTTCTGTTTTGATGTTTTAATCCCCTATGTCATATGTTTTAAAAAATGTGAACATGAAAGTACTTAGAAATTAAATTAATCTTGCATTGTCAATATACACCTGTATTCCCTATAAATATAACTAAAACATGAAGATCCAAAAGTAAACTTTTACTTGAACTGGACAACATATGATCATTTTAATTTTATTTTGGGTTTCTTAGAACATCAGTTTTAGTACTTACATCACAGCTGTTTTGTGAAAGCAGAAATAAACATATCTTAATCAGACTTGGAAAATATACTGACTTAATTAATTTAACAGCTGCTTCAGTAACCAACACTAAAGAACACAGCCTACTTTGTGGATGTTTTGATAACATCTGCAACCAAAAGCATTAAGAGGTATGAGAGAAGAGCTCTAATTTGACTGTTTTGGTGCTCCTAGTGCCAAATTTTGCTTGCGGAAGCCATGGCCATGGCTGACCTCCTCTGGTCCTCATACTCATCCTCTGTGACATCTTGGTCTAACAAAAACGCTTTTCCTTAGGAAAGAACAAAAAACACTGTCAGTTAAACTAATATTTTACAAAACAGGAGTAAAAGTTGAAATCTTTTTAATTTAAAAGTAAGTATTACTTACTATAGCTTGTCAGATAAGCACTTTCATTTTTTCCTGGATATATCCTCAGTATCAGGATGCCTATAAGTTTTAATAGACTTACTTTTAGAGATATCTAATTTCCATTTTGCATAGGGTTCTCTCACCAAGATCTTCTTATATACAATTGTTTTCTGTAAAGAAACAAGACCTAAGAGTCATTTGTTCCAGAGCAGGTACGTCTCCAAGTATTCTGTTTACACACCAATCTTTTCAGTCTGGAATAAAAATCTCTACTGCCTCCTTATGTTCTAATTTGTTGTGTCTTATTTTAAAGGAATTTCATATGTGTGTTGTATTTTGATCATTTTCCATCTCTTTCTGGTCTTACAGGCACACTACTTTGACCTATATTTGACTTTTTGCACTAAATCAGGATAATCTTTCTTCAAAATAAATTTGGCTCTGTAATACTATACCCATCTTTCTATTCCATGGTCTCATTCATAGCTGGACTCATTTTTTCCTTAACATATTTATAACCCAGCTTAAGAATTTTATGTAGGTCTTTATATAGAGAGCTAGACTGTATGCTTCCTGTGGACCAAGAACTAAGTTCTTTACACAGTCTGCTTAATTCCTGTGTTTAAACTTTTTTATTGTTTGAATAGTGTACATATAGGAAACCTCATTTGCTTGTCTGAGATTCATTCTAAGAGACTGAACTATGAAGCAGAAACAATATTTTCATCACTTTTCTGTTCACAATAAGCCTGTCATTAGCAAATGTGACCACTAGATGGCACTCGTGTTCCAATTAGGAACGTCATTTAGGTTCTGTCCTAGGGATTTTTCTAATTTTTTAGGAACTGAGAGGAACCCCCAAATTAATGATTGATGCTATAAGAAGAGTTATATGTATAATTTAACATAAACATCTAATAAACACATTTGCAAGTTGTAAAATGTCAAATGTTTAATAGGTGATCTTGCACTAGGAGGCAAAATAAGAGCTATTAACAATTGTTGAGGGTTAAATATACACTAGGCATTGAGATAGATATGCTTTAGATGAATTGTTCCAATTTAACCTAATGGTCTAGCTGAAACCAATCCCTGTTTTGATTAGAGTAAATCAATCAAATCATCACAAAATAAAGTGTTGGGTACCAGATGCAGGGAGCAGACCCCATGTACAGAGAACCCAATAAATGGAAAATAATTTTAGCACAAGTATATAACATGATAAAATACCATATTAAACCTATTCATTGACAGTTTATGGCATTTTGTATATACTCTGGGACATATGATTCATTCAAGTAATATTTATTAGGAAATTACTAGCCTAAGCTCTGTACAAGATGAATGAATTTAAATGAGGTTTTAACAAAACTTTTTTTCATATACTTCAAAAGGTGAAGAACTATATATTCTCTCATTCTAATATTTTGCCTGAATAATAAAATGCTAAATGACATTATAACAACCCATGATTTTGGAAACAAATACATAGGTTTAACAATAAGTGTGTTTTATTCATAAGAGATTACATTTCGAGGTTCCAAATTTTTTGCGAATGATTCTATTTATATCTGGTTTGTTCTGTTTATAAATTTAAAAAAATCATTTTCCTGTCACCATGTCAGGTTCAATCTGGCATCCAGAAATGAGTTCCATTCTTCCTATCTGACCC